GGCTTAGGACCAGGCAAGGGTTAGGTGGTAGGAAAGTGCTGGAGGTCTCTGTCCATCTCTCACTCCAAACAGGGCCATCCTTACAGTCACGTCACGTTGTGTGGGGCTTCATCCAGGCAAGTGTTAACTAGCTGCAGAAATGGAAGCAGCACATGTTCTGCCACAGGCTTAGCTTTTACATCATGGATGCCATCGAGATTCCCCTCTGCAACCCAGGAGACATTCTGCAGAGGGAAAAGCAATGTCACTTCTTTTGGCAATGAAACAAAGTCTTCAGAAGTCAGTCATGGGAGGACTACCTTCCTCCTTTCCTGAAAATATTGGGCATTGCCTGGCAAAGGAAGCATGCCCAGAAATGCAACCCAGACATCTGGTTGCTGAGGTTGGGGTTTTGCAGGACGAGAAAGTTCTTCAAGCCAGGAGACTGATTGAAGTAATAAAGGGACCAACGTGCACCCTGCTTCTACTGATGTCTTCCTTAGCATCTGCAAATCTCAGTTTAGGAACCCACCTCTGAACTTCTGGTGTCTGCCCTGTCTCTGTCAATGACTGATGAGACTTTTCTTTTGGTCTCTCCTCACAGATCTGTAAAACCCAGGAGTCCAAGGTGGCAGCTTCGTACTGCAGCCCTGCAGTGCCAGTCCACTTCAACATCCAGCAGGACTGTGGGCATTTTGTGGCCTCTGTCCCCTCCAGCATGCTGCTGGCCTCAGATATGGGGAAAAGCATGCCTGGGGATGGCCTCCATCCCTCCCGCACTGCCAGCGAGCACGACTGTGTGGTGGTCATTACCCGGGAGGTGCCGAGCCAGACCACTGCCGACTTTGTGAGGGACTCGGTGATGTTGCACCAAGCCAAGCCTGAGCTGTACGAACGTCGTGTTTGCTTCTTGCTCCTCCAGCTCTGCAATGGCCTGGAGCATCTCAAAGAGCACGGCATCATCCATCGTGACCTGTGCCTAGAGAACCTCCTGCTTGTCCCCTGCAAGCCCCCCATGAGCTGTGTGAAAGCCAAAGATGACAAACACTTACCCCGCCTCATCATCAGCAATTTTTTGAAAGCCAAACAGAAGCCAGGAACTGGAGACTCCAAACTGAAGAAGAGTCAGGCCCGGCTGGCCCCGGAGATTGTGTCGGCTTCTCAGTACAAGAAGTTTGATGAGTTTCAGACTGGTATTCTCATTTACGAGCTGCTGCACCAGCCTAACCCCTTTGAGGAGAAAGTGCACCTGAAGGAGCAGGAGTATAGCCCTGAGGACCTCCCTGCTCTGCCTAGCTTGTCCATCTACTCCCGGGGACTGCAGCAGCTGGCCCACCTGCTGCTGGAAGCAGATCCCATCAAGCGTGTGCGGATCACCGAGGCCAAGAGGATGCTGCAGTGTCTGCTCTGGGGCCCCCGGAAGGACCTCACCGAGCAGCCTACCAGCCACGAGGAAGCCCTCCGCCGGGTGCTCCAGAACTGGGTGGACATGAAGCGCGCCCTGCTCATGATGAAGTTCGCAGAGAGGGCTGTGGACACGGAGCGGAGCATTGAACTGGAGGACTGGCTGTGCTGCCAATACTTAGCGTCTGCTGAGCCCACCTCCCTCTCACACACGTTAAAACTGCTGCAGCTGCTCTGACCTCCGATGTGTCTTGGGGGCAGCTGAGACCTCCCAGTTGCCTTGAGGCTAAAGGTGCACAGCCCCCTTTATAGGCGAGAGGCTCGAATCTCAGCTGCGACTGCACGTTCACCTCCTGCCCCACGCTCCACTCAGAGTGCACAAGACATGTTTAGTACCCTCAGCACTCTTAATTTGTGAGCAGGCAAAACTGGGAACCTACCCCTATTTTGGGGGATTACTTTTTTTTTTTTTTTTTTGGTATGATAAGGTAAATCTGTGGACTAATAAACTCCTGCCTGCGTGTGTGCATGTTTCTAATGAACTCAATGTACTTGAGTTGATTTCTGTGCCTGGGGGACAGTCCTTTGATTCCCCACACACCCCCATAGCATCAGAGCCTTTTTGCTGGGGAACGCCACCCCTCTCCAGAGTGGACAGCAGGGACAGCAGCTTGGCTGCTTCTCCTGGGAAGTAAAAGCAATTTGCATAATGCTCGTTGGTGAGGGAGAACCAGGAGGGGCTTTCAAATTCATGTCTTCCGTAGTTTTTGGCATACATTTTGCTTCTCACTTTCAAAACAAAAATTGCTGCTTTTTTTCTTCTGTGTATCAGCTGTGTTTTCCACTGTGGACAAGTCAGTATCAGCTGCCTATTACCTTTGTTAGATACTACCATAGTGTGGCTCTCCTGTCTAGTGGTGCAGCTGGGCAGGCTGTTGATTGTGAAAGGGTGAGAGAGAGCCCAGGATGCGTCTGTTCATGAGGATGATGCTGCATGCTGGGAATTACCCCTTGTAAAGTTAATGAAATGGAAAATCCCCAATTCACCTCCGAGGCCTTTGAGGGGGGAAGTCAGGGCCAGGTTCCTTTGCTTTCCCCATCCCTCCAGCTTCTTCCCTTCACCTGGTAATTCACCTGTCCCTTGTGTCTAGCATTTATTTAACCCCTTTATCGAGAGATGAGCTGGCATGTGAAAGGCTAGGGCCACTAGCCTGTGATCTGGGACAGTCTTATTGCTGCTGGCATTTGAATTAAAAATGTGTAGGGCTGGGTGCACTGCAGACATGTTCCACCAACAGATGTGATGCAAGAGCAGCGTGACAGAAGAGGGAGAAGCTGACCTGGCCTTTCTCCGTCCCCTTTCCCTCCATCCAGACATGTAGCAGCCACACAGCTTGGTGGAGAGGCCATGCTGCTGCTCAGAAAAACCCATTTTTCAAAAATATTGTGGGCTGCTTTTACTCTTCCACTGCAACATGCGGCAGAGGTAAGCCACCCTGCTGCTGGCACCAGTTCTGCAGCCCTTGGAGAAGGGGTAGGTTTGGGACACATGGAGAGAGCCTAGCATCAGCTTAGCTGAGACAGGATGGCACTAGCTCAGCTACTCCTCTCCCAGCTCAAAATGGGAAGAAATTCATGAGTGCTTTCCTCCAGCCTTGATTCACCTCCAGATCCAGCTTCTTTTGGGAGAATTTGAAGTTTTAATTCCCCAATTTTTTTGACACTTTATACACTTTCTGTGAATCTTTTCCAAGCCTTTTTTTTTTTTTTTTTTAATCTGTTTGGCTGTGGTTGCTGCTGATGGGAGGGGATGGTTCCTTGGCTGGGCACCTACTTGCAATGAATTTCCCCTGATCCCCTTAGGGAGGAGGCCATGCACGTCCCTGCCTGCTGAAAGAATGTGGGATGGCTCCAACTGTGGCCGTCAGGAATTTTTTTTATACATTGGTTTTCTTGTGTCTTACTCTTGGGTCCACTTCCCTCTAACATAGGTAGCAGGAGCCTCCTGGCTTGGGAACTGCTGTCCTGTGGACCATCCTGGACACATCGCCCTGGGAAGTCTGGCCCTGACTTGCTGCATGTGGTCTCACATGGCCCAGCAAAGTGGTGAAACAGCTGGAGAACCTGCCTGAAGGAGCCCAGCATGTTTTTCAGAGATCAGATGAAGAGATGACTCAGTTTCTAAACATGGATATAGGGAATAAGGTGGAGACAGCTCTGCAGGACAGCTCTGAAGGAGACAGGGCCTGGCCATGACAAATCCAAGCTGTGCTGGCAACAAGGTCATTATACGTGGGGTAAGTGGCTTGCAAGGCTTGGATTGGGTGTTCAGTGGGACTCAAGAAGTAGCCAAACATTCAGTCAGCCCACATTTTTCATGCTTAGTTTCAGTTTACTGACAAACACTGATACAGGTATTGGCACAGGTCCTGGCACGGTGTGGGTTGTTAACCTGATCAAAGTGCTTTCCCTTGAGTTTGGACACTTGAGACTGGTTCTGGTGTTGGTCCTGGTACCCTGCAGCGGCATGCCCAGCAGACAAGAGCCCAACAATTGTCTTGCAGCATTTTCAGCTATATTATTTTGAGATCTAGTGGATGTCTTCTTCCTCTCATATAAACAGCAACTTGGCTCCATGCTTTCCTCATGCTTTCCCCTGTGGTAGCTTATGCTGCTTCTTCAGCCCAAACAGTCCTAGGTTTTTGGGTCCTAGGCCAATGTGTGAAGTGCATTAGGGTTTCTGCTGTGTGTCTTTGTGGGGAAAGCAACACCTAAGGCCGGGTTAAATGCCACAGCTGAGTCTGAGGACTTTGCTGACTTACTCCCCCTTGCCCGTGCTGTCCTTAGCCTACCATGGGCAGTAGCTCTCCTTTTCCTAGCAGACATTCTTGCCCCTGTGCCCAGGATCCTCTGCAAGAATGGTGGAGGGGATGGGTCATCCCCCTCTTCCCTGTGTGGCATGGAACAGAGCCGATCCCATTCCCTGGGGACAAAGCATGTCACCCACTTGGTGGAGGGTGGGTATTGCAAGAGATGGGTAATTGGGAACAGTTTGGAGTCCGCATGCCACAGGGACAGTGCTGAGGGGCAACTGCTAGAGGAGCACTGCAGACCCATGCATCTTGGTGGTACTTCTGGGTGGGGAAAGAGGGGTTTCTTGTCTCGTGCTGCCCCCAGACAGACTGGCAGCCCCTTTCCCTGTGCCCAGGCTCCCAGTGGTCCTTGTACACAAGAAAGGTGTCAAGGCAGCTCTCTGCCAGTGTCTGCTATTGCAATGGAGAACAGATCCCCAGGAGCTGGACACAGTTGCCGACTGGTGCTTTTGTAGCACAGATGAGTTTGGTGGGGAGGTTGTGTGCTTCCTACATGAGAAGAGGCTGAGACCCAAAAGCCCCAAGACAAACATTAGGCAGGCAGTGTTGCTAGAAGCCCTCTGCCAGTGGTCTGGTGACCTCACCTGCCTGCCTCAGAGCATCCCACAAAGCTGGTGGATATCTCAGGAGTAAAAGCCAACCTGGTTCTCTGGAGATGCTGTTATATTAGATTGCTTGGCCAGTAGCATTTGTCACCCTGCAGGGATGTGCCCCACCAGCCACAAAAATTAGCCCAGGACAGGTTCAGTTCTGCTTTGGCTTCTTGGCAAGCAGCAGCAGCAGAGCAAGGCCATAGGAGAGGGGAAGGATGCTGTTGCAGGAAGTCCAGACCAGGCAGAGCATGGAGAAGCTCTCGGTCTCCACAGCCACCACGATGTAGGCGACAATAAGCTGCGTGAAGACCCAGGTTGTGCCATGGTAGAGGAGCTTCACACCCTGGGAGGTGGCCCGGATGCTGAGGAAGGGATGGATGCGGTAGTCGGCCTCCACCATGACAGCCCAGCAGAGGAAACCAAAGACCTGCCCGGGCCGGAGGCCGTGCCACCAGGCAGAGAAGGCAAAGGTGGCTAGGAGCGGCTGGGCTGGGCAGCGCTGGAAGACCAGTCTCCTCAACCAACGGGACGTGCTCTTGTTCCAGGTTCGGGTGAAGACGGCCAGGCGGTGGGTGGTCTCCAGCGTCCACAGGTCATGGAGGGAAAGGTCTCCCTGGCCCTCCTCTGGCCCGAAGCCCGCCGCCTCCAGCAGGGCCTCATCCAGCACCCAGTGCGTGTAGTAGGCCAGCCGGAGGAGCAGGGCCTGTGCCCAGAGGCAGGGCAGGCAGCCCAGGCCAGCACAGCCCTGACTGCTGGCCAGCCCTCCGGCCACCAGCCCAGCACGCAGCCCCTGCAGGGCCAGGGCACAGAGGCACCGCTGCCCGGCAGCCCTCAGCTGGCGGGGGAGAGCCCCCGAGGACTCGGCCTGGGCTTGAAACTGGCTGAAGGAGCACAGGGGTCCTCCGAGGAGGGCTGGGAAAAAGAGCAGGTAGCTGCAGAGGGGCAAGGTGCCCTGCAAAAGCCCCTGGCCCGGCTGGAGCCGCACGACGCCTTCGTGGATGTCCAGGGCCAGAGATGTAGCTTTCTGAGTGAGCAGCATGATGGCAGAGAGGGCGATGGCTGGCCTGGAAGGAGAAGGCACCCAGAAGCTGCTCAGAGTCCCTCGAAGGGAGCATCAGAGGCAGGGGTGCAAGGCCACACATGGGGGATGTGCTGTCCCACATCCCCAGAGGGCTACCATGCCCACAGCATTGCCCACGCACAGGGATGCAGCCGGAGCCAGAGCAGAGACTGACGGCTGTGTGTGGCGAGCCAGTGCGGCTTGGGGGACTCTCTACCCCCACAAAATGGCTGGGAGAGCCCCCAGCCCGCCTAGGAGAGGGGCAGGAAGGAGGCAGAGCCAGGGAGTTACCTGGCATCCTGAGGGTCCAGCTGCTGGCTGCTCAGACCCAGGTGGCAGAGCGTCTGCCAGGACATCTGGAGGGCGAAGACCCAGGTGTGGACATGAGCTGGGCTGACGGAGAGGAGGACGAGCACGGAGCCAACAGCAGGCACGATGAGCAACACGGCGTAGCTGCCCATGGCTATGGTAGCAAGAAGACATCCTCCGGCGAGGAGGAATATGTACCTAGAAGAGACCAGGTGAGTTTTGGATGCCTTTTGGGGAAAATGTGGCTTGAAACTCCTGCTAGTGTTGTCAGTAGAGCTTAGTCTGGGTCCTGGAGCCTCCAAAGTCCCCCCTTTTGGCTGCCTCTTGGTCTCTCATGGGGCTGAGGAAACACCAGGGACATCGTGGCTGCAAGCAGAAATGGAGGGGGGACTGGGGCAGATATTGCTGGCCCTGCCTCGCCTCCATCCTAATCACAGCAGAGATAGTCCCCACACCCCTCCCTGCTCCCCTTGCCCACATGCTCATCCAGGTACATTCCTAAACCCATCTCTCACAACACCAGAGTGTCTGGCCTGGCTGTTTTGTCCTTAACAACCTTGAGCTGGCTCCAATGCAGAGAGGGGGGCATTGGAGGAGGGGACAGATCACATCTGAGCCATACAAATATCCCTACCCGAGTCAGCAGGGACTTACTAGCACATGTCCCACTGTACCTCTGACCAGGAGAGCCCCCAGAAAGCATCTACAGGCATGACTTGCCCTCAGTGCAGAGGCAGGGGTGAGGACCACGTACCGGGCAGTCAGAGAGAGGTGCCCCGAAGCACAGAGATGGTGGAAGAGAGCAGCGAAGGGGAAAGCCACCAGTCGGTATGGGGCTGCAGGAAGGAGAAGCAGGTCTGCCCAGTGCATTGAGCACTGTGCTTCTTCAGCTGTCTCTGATGCCTGGAGAAAGGACTGAGCCAAGGGCTGCTCTGGCTCCTCTTTATATGTGGCAGGACCTCAAAAAAAACCCCCAGAGCAGAGCAAAGGAAACAGAGGTATCTGCAGGAAGAGGAGCATGTGTTTTGCGTTTGTCAGTGCCGACTCCTTCAAGCACCTCTGTCCCGAGGTTTGTGTGTAGGTGGAAAAAGCTGGGGTTGGTTATTTGCTCTGCCCAGACGCCTGGGCCATTACCACACGCTTCGAAGGCAGTGAGAGCGAGCTGCTGAGATAAGAGGGTCTTTGGGCTGCCACATGTGCCCTGCTGGGTTGCACCTCAGAGCAAAATCTCCAGGTACTCCCAGAGGCTTGGTCCTTTCTCTTTGCTGCTGCTCAGCTCAGTCCTTTACAGAAATCTGTGGCTTTTTCCTGGCTTACTTGTTATGGGGTAGTGGTGGGGACTTCCCAGTACTTAAACCCTTGGTCACAGAAAGGAAAGAATGGGTTCTGCCACTTCTCAGTGACAACGGAGAGTGAGCCCCTCCGCCCCACCACTTGGACCAAGCTACAGGGCCTTTTCATCTACCAGAGATAAAGGAAATGCCCTATTCTCTCCAAACAATTTTTTTTCAAGTAAATAAATTTTTAGAAATGGACTCACAGAGGTACTTGTGATAGTAGAAATCAGTCATTGCAGTTAAAATGTTTAAACTACACATTCATTCAAAAATGTGCTGTAGGAGAAAGCAAAAGGTCCTCTTTTGGGCCAGACTTGAAAAGTTATTTGAAGAGTCATCTCTAGAGTAATATGAGCCCAGCTGCTATTGCTCTTACAATGCAACCAGCAGTATTTCATGCTAAACAGACAAAAAACCCCAAGAAAATGCATCTACAGGACGTGACTCTTCTTTATGAAATACAGCTAAGAAAAAATAGACAAATTAAAATGAAAGCTCATGTTTTTTTAAAAAAACCTCAGTTGATATCTACTTTATTTTAGGCATATGATCAGTGTGAATAGAAAGAGGAATACCCTGGGATTTCCTTCTGGAAGAAAAAAAAATAACATATTGAAGGGTAGAAGAAGTAAGGTTTTCCCCTTCCTTAGATGAGTGCTTCAAAATATCTAGATTAGTCTGTTATTCAATAAAATGAGCAAAATTGGTGCCTAAAGTTACAGAAAGAACAGTGCTCCAATAAAATAAAAAAAAAGAAAAGAAATTTTTATTTTACAAGTATATCAAATCTGACTCTTATAAATGCTTTGAATGCTTCTACTCTTCACTGAGATTTTCAAGCTATCATGATGCTGGAAAGCTTTCCACATTGTTTGGATGGGTTATTTGGTTACAAGGCAGCGGGGGAACAAAACCCATGGAAAAAATTATTAGAGCAAATGCTGCAGAGAAGCCAGCTGTATTTTGCTCTATTTGTGCAGGGTGTATTTTAAGAGCAAGCGATAGCACCAGAGAGAAGCTTTTTCCATGTCAATTTTGGCATGCATGGCATGCAGCAACAGCCTGGTTTCACGGGACTCATTCTGCCAAATCCACGGAGCCCAGTATTGACTTTTCTGAGTAAATATTTTTGAAGGCCTTTGCAGTGCCCGCTTAAGCAATTCCCTGCTATGGTTCTGCAAAAATGCCATTGCTTTTCAAGAAGCAGAAATTAATTTCCACAGTAGCATTGGAAATGTTAACACACTGCTCCTGCCTCTCATTTTATGCCATCAGATGCTGGGCGGTGGAAGCGTGGTCTTAGAGAGAGCCTGTGAGCCACAGTGAAGCACGTCAGAGAGCGTTATTTGCTTCATTTCCATCTACCAAACAAGCACCAGTTCCTGGCTGAGGAATTAATTGCTTGGTAATACAGGAGGTGAGAAGAGCAGGCTGACCACTGTCACAGCAAACTCCGGGCATGGAATTCAAGCAGGTATGTCTCACATGCTAGCTTTGGGCTAGTATCCAGAAATTTTATAGTTGCTTTCTTGATGGACTACAGTGCTGTTTTGGGAACGGTTTTGGTTGCCTGCAGCAATGCAGCCTATACTGACCTGCTGCAGGACACACTGCAAAGTGAAAGACGTGCAATGAAAGCAAAAAAAATAGTAATTTTAAAGAAAAAGTCAGACTGAGACTGTTTGTCTCTTCTCTAGAAAAAAGCACATAAAAAGGAAGGGAGGCCATTAAAATAGGGTTCAGGAGGCCTGGACTGAGCTCCTGTGTCAGACTCCCCATGGCCTTAGGAAAGCTGCTTAACTCCCATCCACAAAACACAGGTGATAGTTGCTGTTTCCCAGTGGTGTTACAAGGCAGAATCAACCACAAACCTTGGGACTTTGCGTTTGGCTGTGATAGGCAGGACATGAAAGTACCCGAATGAGAAAGGAATTAAGAAATTAATGCAATGGTTTATTAAAACACAAAAATGCAAAAATCCTTCCTTTCTTTCAGTCCCACCCTGGCTTTTTGCTACTTGTTGCTTTGCAGCTTTGCTGAGCGCCGCCTGTAGATGGCCCGCTCCTGCTTGTGGCAAAGGTGCTTTTGTCTCCCTGGATACAGGGCTGCATCCCAGCAATTTAAGGATAGTGCAACAGCTTCCTATTGCAGCTGTGACCCCTCTCCTGGAGGGCTGAAGTTGTGCCTGGGGAAGGGGGAGAAAAGGCATTTCCATAAGCGTTTGTGTATTTTTTTTTTGCATCTTCCGTGCTTCTCAATACCCAGGTCAGTAATTAAAAGGGAATGTTAATCGGCAAAAAATTAAATTAAGTGAAATTTCTGCAAGTCACTTTTCTGCCTGCAATACGGCCTTGCAACTCTTGAGCTCTGCCACATCAGCTGAAGCTGGTGTGGGTGAGGGGCCAGCTCTGTGCCCTGTCCTGCGCCGGCACTGGCAAAAAAGGCAATTTACTTTCAAGGCAGAATCCTATTAGGAACTCCTTCCTTGCCTTCGGTGTTGAGACCAAGGCCAGATGGAGACAGATCCTCCCGGTACCTCCTAAGGTTTTTGGACATTTAGTACAGGGACTGACATCACTGGAGACCACGCACCCTGATGGTTCCCCTCAACCCCACCACAGAGCTCCTGAGACAAGAGGTATGCAGCTCCAGGGACCATGCACAGCAGCCAGTGATGGGGAAAAAAGGTCTTGGGCTGCTTGCTGTTCCTCTTCCATCCCCTTTCACGTGATATGCAAGCCCTGCAGAGAGACAGTTCTTGTCCTGGCATCTCCTTTTGGAGACAGCAGAAGCAGCTGCCGCTTTTCTGATCCTTATTACAACGTCAGCAGATCAACTGGTGCTTTGCCTCAGGGATAAAGTGTCTGCGATAAAGTGTCTGGGTATGATCCACATTGCCATTGGCTGCTGGAAAGAGTGGATGTCCTGACACCCTCGGGGTGATCCCAATTCCTTGGTGGCTGAGGGTTTTTTTCCCTTTAGCCTTCACAAAGAAGAAACACCAACATATGCTGAAAAAGCAGAGTTGCTTCTTAGGGGAAAACACAGCAGAGGGATGAACCAACAGCGCAATGATGGAATGGGATGGGATGTGCCAGAGGAGTGGAGCTGCCCTGTAGGAAAAGGGGAGATGCCAGGCACAACCCAGGCTTCCCAGCACACTCAGGTAGCCCCAGCGTACAGGGCATCCCAAAACTGGGATTGCTGCTCTCAGTCTGCTGCTCAGAGCTGTCTCCCCAAGACAGGTACCACCTCTCCTGTGCTCTTCAGAGCCTGTAGTGCAGGGCTCACAGGGTAAATCACAGTGATGATATTTTTCTCGCTCAGTGTCAGGTCGATCTGAGCTGCCAGAGGACAGATGGAGAGGCTGGAGTCCTCTCCTAAGCCCTGAAGAACCAAGGTAGAAATAAACAGAGCAGAGATCAAATCCTCGTCCTTGCAGAGATCTCAGGCATTCCCTGCCGAGAGGGTCAGCCCATGCAGCTCCTCCCATGGCCAGGAGGGAGCAGGGTGAAGTGAATCTGCTGGAAATTGCCAGGCCAGGAATGCCCTAATGCCCTTGAACTACCCCAATTCCTCTCCAGCGTACAGGGAGTAGAGCTCTCCTCACTGGGGCAGGGCTGGGAGCTGGAGCTCACCAATCTGTGAAGAGCCCCTTCTGCTAAATTCCAGAAAAGGAGCACCTGAGTTACTCAAGGCACCTGAGGAAGAGACATCTTGGACAGAGAGCAATTGAAAAGGATCAGGAAGACCACTTGCTGTGCGTCTTTTTCTGCTCTGCTACAATTTCTGAATGCGTTTGGGCTGCCTTTTTGTAGCAACACAGCACCTGGATGTCAGCACTTCCACTGGAGTCCTCAGGGATCCCTCGGTAATAGGACCAGAGCAAAGAGGACCACCAGCCTGCTGGGCTGTATTAAGCAGAGTGTCGCCAGCAGGTCGATGGAGATGATCCAGCTCCTCTGCTCAGCACGAGTGAGACGCACCTGGAGTTCTGCATCCAGTGATCCCCAGTACATGAGAGACATGGACATACTGGAGAGAGTCCATAAAGAGCTGATGATGGTGGAGTGGAGCATCTCTGGTAAGAGGAAAGGCTGAGAGAGCGGTGACTGTTCAGCTTGGAGAAGACAAGGCTCAGGTAGGGGGAACTTACTAGTGTACTGATAAGCACCGATGGGGAGGAATGAAGTCAAGGGAGCTATGCTCTTCTTAGTGGCACCCCCTGACAGGACCAGAGGTGATGAACACAATCTGAGACACGTGAAATCTCACCCAAACCCAAGAATATAAGTTTGTGTATGCATGTGCATCTAGTGTTTGTGTGGTGTGCACATGCTTGTGTGTTGTACGCGCATTTTTTGCGGTGCAGTGTGTGGTTGTGTGTTGTGTGCACAGTGCATGTTTTGTGTGCGTTGTGTGTTTGCATGTGTCGTGGTTTTGTGTGTGTTCTGGGCACATGTGGTGGTGGTGGTGGTGGTTCAGGGCTACGTGTGGCCCCAGCTAGTGCTTGGCTCCATGGGGGTGCCAAGGGGGTCCAAGAGCAGCCTCAGCCCCAGAGAGGCCCCAGATGGGGCCAGAGGCATATGATAGAGAGGACTGTGGGGCACATGAGGGTTTATGGGGGGAGTTGGGGGTACCTCAGGGGTTATGAGGCACATGGGAGGTTAGGAGACCCTGTGGGAGCTATGGGGCATCCAGGAAAGCAATGTGACATCCAAAGAGTTGGAATACTAGGGGAGAGCATTGGGTGCACATCCAGGGGATCGGGGGGGCCTGTGTGGCACCTAGGGAGTTGTGGAGCACCCAGGAAGGGGGAGTCTATGGGGCACAGGAGAAGTCAGAGGCACCCCGGGGGGCTATGGGACACCCAGGAGGTTGGGAAAACCCAGGGGTTTGAGACAAACAGCGGGGGGCAGGTCCACCTTGGACAGGGTTGGGGGCACCCAAAGGGGCTCGGGGGCACCCAGGGAGGGGTAGGATCGCAGGGTCCCCCCAGAAGCTGATGCCGGAGCCCAGTCCTGTGGCACCTCCTTTATTGCAGGCCCCTGGCAGAGCCCCACAGAGAGAGGAAGAATCCATGTTCCCCCCAGGTCAAGCCTCACTGGGAGGGCGGGTAGGAGCCAGCGAGGTGCACGGGCAGCCCATTCAGGCAGGAGACCTGCACGTGGTGCTGGACCTGCCGAGCTCGGTAGGCACAAGGGGGATGGGTGTCCCGGCCCCGCAGGCGGCAGGTGGTGAGGGCCATGGATGTCGGGGTGCTGTGGAACCCCTTTGCATCAGGCGCCTGGCTGCAGGCGGCCACCAGCTCCTCGGCCGACGCGTGGACGAAGGTGTTGGTGGGCTTGCAGGGCCGCCCCTGGGCCGTCACCCGCCGGCGCGCCATCATGGTCTCGCAGTAGCGGTGGGCCGCCAGCGTGGATGTCTGGGGGAAGTCCACATGCTGCCGCAGGAACTTCTCATAGCGGGTCTCAGCCACCGTCCCTGCCAGCGCGGCCAGCACCAGGACCATGCATAGGGCCCAGCCCGCCATGGACACCTGTGGAAAGTGAGGTCAAGGCTATTGGAGTTCAGGGCCCCCAACTGGAAATCCCACCCCAGACGCTCAATTCCTCTACAAATTCCCCCACCCTTACGTATCACCTTTAAATGCACAGGGACCCTCCTCCTTGGACTCCTGGCTCCACTACAGCAATCCCCTGGACACCTGGGCCATCCGTGGATCCCACCAGGATGCTGGTCCGGTCAGAATACCCCATGGACACTGGGGTCCCCTATAGTTCTGCACCCTTCCGAATGCCTGGGTCCCCTATGGAACACCCACCCTGGACCCCTGGGTCCCCTGTAGATCCACCCCCTTGCTCTGACACCCGGATCCCCTACATGTCCTCCCTCCCACACTGGATCCCGGGGTTCCTCCAGAGTCCCCTCCCGCAGACACCCTACGCATCCCTCACCCGCATCTTTGTGTGCCTCAGTTTCCCTTATGGCCTCAGGGTCTCCGGATCCCTCCCACTTCCCCACGGCGCTTTTATACTGGCCCCAGCTGGGCCCAATGGGCAAGGATCCAGGAGGAGGGGCAGGGCAAAGAGCAAGGTCCAGCAGACGTGTGGGGCGGAACCAGACATCCAGGAAGACCCACTCCCCCTTGCAGGCCCCCCAAGGTCATTAGGTAGTCATTAACAAACCACGTGACTGGCTTGCACATGTCCCCTCGGGTGCCCCCTGCCCATGTTGTCTTGGACCGTGCCTTCTGACCTGGGCCATGGGGGCAGGACACCTGGGTCCCCTGGGGTGGCAGGGCAAGATACCTAGTTCCCTGGTGGGGGGACAAGACGTCAGCATCACCTCTGGGGCAGCTGACAGACGCTCCTGCCCCTCTTGGACAATGTGGTATGTCCACAGCCACCCTATTGCTTCAGGAGCTATGTGTCCCTTCCCCCTGTCCCCCCTGGCAGGCAAGGTCAAACCCCTGGGAACTGCCAGTAAGTGTTTTGCCCCACTGTTCCTCACGTGCTCCCAGCTGTTCTGCTGAGGCAGAGATAAGCAAAGAGCCAGAAGCCAGCCTCAGCCCCATCAAAACTCAACCCTTTTGCCTTGACCATCAGGGAGAACCTGATGGAGCCACGGGGAGAACATGTCCCCTCTAGAGGAAGAGCACACAGTGCCTGGGAGAAGCTGTCACCACCAGATGCAAGTGATCTCCATCCACCTCTTCAAAGACATGATAGAGACCATGATGGGAAGTGGCAAATGGAGGACGAAGAATAAAGTCAACAGGAGCCTTCAGCTGCTCTTCTTCCATGTGAGCAACTAAGCTTGATCCCACCAGTGATTCAAGGAGGACAATGACACCAGATGCTGACACTTCATGGGTGGGCCTCAGCAGTAGGGCCATGGGCTGCTGAGAGATGCCCCTTTGGGTGTGTGTCACTATCAGGCCTGACCCACTTATCCACAAGGACAGCACAGAGCTGCCCCCCTGCCTATCCCAGGCCCACCAACGTCCTTCAGTCTGAGGAAGACCAGCCTGAGGTCCTGGTCACCACCTTCCCCAAAAATTCTGGAAAAGCTCTAAGACTGGCCAGGATGAAGGTGGAGAATGCCCTGTCCTGGGCTATGGTGGCATCTTCCCATCTGGTGGGTTACTGAGGGCAGCGTGCCCTACCTCAGGCAAGGCGGGCTCTGCCCCCTTGTGCAGAGGGGACAGGAGGAATCAGTTGAGGTGCTTGAGGCAGCCCAGACCAGCAGCTTCTAGTTGGCCCTGCAGCTCCAGCTTCCTCATTGCACGGGAAGGGCTGGGTGGGCTGGCACTGTCTGGAGAGCTGCCTGGGGCCTCTGCAGACACAGGGGTTTGATCTTCACTCTCTTTTTTTTTATCTCAACCCTGCAGCCTTGGAGAACGACCACCCTTGCTCTCTGCCCTGGCAACACAGCCATCCTCAACCTGAGGCCGCAGAGGAAAAGCCCCTGCCCAGATTCATCCTGCGAGTGGGCTAATGGCTGTACAGAACCTGTAGGAGGCAGCAGCTGCCTTTTGGGCTGTTGCTCTGTTTGCACGGAGCCAGAGCTGCAACCCCCAGGGCACTCTGCCCGCCTATCTGCACAAGCTTGACAGGCAGCCTCATCCCAGTCTCTCCATCCCCAGTGCTGTGTTCCCACCAAGTACCCATCTGTTGTCCAACCAAGGGCCAGCAGAGTGACGCCCTGTGTGCTCTGGGGACCTTGCTGGCCCCCCGGAGACCCCGGGGCGCACCCTAAGGCACAGGGAAGAGGTTGGGGTGCCCCAGAAAGGGGCTCTGGGGGCCATGAGGCCTGTGTGGTGGGGTGGCGAGGCGAGGCAGAGAGGAAGAGAGGCAGCGCAGGGCTCTTTCTGAAAGAAAGGCCCGGCAACAAACGGCTTGAGAAGAGAAAAGCTTTAATAAGGTGGAAGAAGCAGCAGCAGCAGAGTATAGACAGCGAGTCAACCTTAACGTCTCGGGTAAATCCTACACCACAGGCCTAGGCCTGCGCCTGCTGTGGTTCTGCGGCTGCTAACATTCCAGCGCGGTCTCACCGGTGGGGGTGCCGAGGCCTCGGCCCACAGGCTGCTCACCTTTCCCACTGCCATCGCAGGCCACGGGCGACCCTCCCGACAGAGGGGCTGCTCCCGCCCGCCGGGCCGGGCCCAGCGGAGCCGCCGCGGCCTCTGCCGGCTCACCGGCTCCTCAGGCGCTGCCCTTTCCGCAGGGCTCCCCGGGGAGCACCGAGGGGCGCCCAGAGGATCCCGAAAGGCGCAGAGAAGCCACGAGGGAACCCCAAAAAGCAGGAGGACGGTCGGTGGGTCCGTCCGCCCGTCCCCGGCCCTCTCTCGCGAGAGCGCTGCCGCCGCCTGCAGTTCTCGCCCCGGCCCCGCTCTCGTATAATCTCGCGCGAGCGGCGACTTCCGGTCTTTTCGTTGCCCGGGCGGGACCATGGCGGTGGGCAAGAACAAGCGTCTCACCAAGGGCGGCAAGAAAGGCGCCAAGAAGAAAGTGTAAGGGCGGCCGGGAGGGGAAGGGACGGGGTCCAGGGGTGCCGGGCGAGGCCCCGCGGCGGCAGGATGCCGCGGATGCGGGGCGGATGGCGGGCGGGCGGGCGGTGGGAGCGGGCCGCGGCTGTCATGGCGGCGGCCGGGCCTGAGGCGG